AGCAACTAAGCGACTAAGCGACTATATAGTTAAGCGACTAAGCGACTAAGCGACTGAGCGACTAAGCGACTAAGCGACTAAGCGACTAAGCGACTAAGCGATTAAGCGACTAAGCAACATGTTAATAATAATACAAGCTAATAATAATATATTCTAAGATAACTAATAAATAATAAAATAAAATAATAAACTAATAATAAATTCGTTCTATAACAATATATAATTTTGCATGTATGAAACAAACTTTTGCACATATGAGGCAAATCTTTATATGTATAAAGCAAATTTTGTGCATATGAGGCAAATTTTGCACATATGGAACAAATTTTGTACATACTGTATGATACAAATATTCGCATATATAAACCAAAATTTGCACTATGTATGGTATATAAAAAGTGCTAATTATTTTTAATAATATATGCACAAATTTAAATCTATGTGCGCCGCACCTACTGCACATATCCAATTTATATCACTAATCAGTTGTATAATGGGTAAGAGTGAATTTAGAAGTAATTTTTTAGAAAAACAGCCTTTTAACCTACTGTTAGCTAATAATTAAACATGTAGATATTGCAATATTCTATACACTTAATTATGTCTTCAAAGTAAGTTTAAAAGACCATTTTTGTAAAAACTCATCTTGTAATAAATTTTAATAACAAATAATTCTCAATTATGATTGGCTAATTTTGGGGTGAAACCAAATCGGTGAATATGACTAAATCACAATTTCTATGTCTCTGAAGAACAATAATGTATAAGCAATTTATGATTATTTAGCTGCGGCTATGGTGTTTATCATGTAACAATACTTTGTCTGGCTATTTCCATAGTAAAATTTCAACTTTACTACAGAACTATTAACGATCTAAAATAGAATACTATAGTCTAAGTGTACGTAGTAAAATAAAAACTCGGTGTTATCATTTAAACTCGGTGTCATCATTTAAGCAAAGATTACATTTTGATAGATCTCCATTTTTTGATGCATAAATTTTCCAAGAATATGAGCAAAAATATCTTGATGACCGTCTAACTAAATTCAATTTTTTTATTTTATTTTGATTCTTCAGTTTTGTAGAATCAAAATAAAAAAAAAAGATCGTCAAATTTGGTTAGGTTGGTTGCCGAGTTCAAAGTTTTGAAAACACTAAAACGTCTATCAAAATAATAGCCATGGCAAAATAAAAAACTTTGAGCGAAGATATCTCAGCAACCACCCATCCAAATTTGATAGTTTTTTTTTTTATGTTGATTCTACAGAACTGAAGGATAAAATAAAAAAATATTTATTGAATTTGACTGAAATGACATCAAGAACGCCACCGTGTAACCACAGATTAACTTTTGTTGCATCATTAAAAATTGTGATCAGTTAGATGTATCAAGAACGTATCTTTTGTAATGTGCCGGACCAACAAGTATTAACTTATAAGGTGAATTAAAAAATAGAATAGGATCGGTATTTACACGCAAGAGAAGAAACATGGGCAGTCTTACAGAATCTCAAATTCTACCTGATTACTATAAAATATTAGAAATTTCACCTTCCGCACAACAAGCAGAGATTAGAAAATCTTATAGAAAATTAGCCTTGAAATATCATCCAGACAAAAATACAAATCAATGTGTTATTGTGTCAAATTCTTCTAACAAACGTAATGCGCTTAACGAACATTTCATTTCAATCAATGAAGCTTACAATATTCTGTCGAACGCAGAATCCAGAGCTAATTATGATATTCAACGCCTTACTGGTAACTCAACTTTAAACAGTGGGCCTTCCAGCACATTGGAAAACATACATGGGCTATTTCGTGAAATCATGTCTTGCAAAGAAACTATTTCGCAGCTTTCTGGTTCATTTATGGCTCGTTCAATTGATTTAGGTTGGATTGCAGCTAGCACTGAAGAACAGCTTTTCAGCACTTATGAGAGGGAAATATCTTTAATAGAATCAAGTATTCTTGCTGAACCTGGAGAATCTTCTACGCCACCTTTTAATCAACATGATGATGATCTTTCCGATAATTACCTTCCTGAAGATGATATAATTCAAATCCTAGAAAATCCTCAATGGATAGTTATTGATAAAGAAATTTTAAAACTTTCTGATTTTGTTGAATCACAAAATTTACTTATTAAATCTGTTTCAGATATAATTTCACCATTAATGATGGCTTGCTCTTATGGCACGTGGACTTATGAAGACAAAGTGGAAACGTTGAACCGAATTAAATCATTACAGTTAAAGATTATACAATATTTGGAAATTATGAATCAAAAGATAGAAACAGATGTGCAAGCGTTTGATTCCATCATTGATAAAGTTATTAATCATATAATATTGTTTCAATTGTTTATTATCATAATTGCAATTGGGTGACTTTGATTATTATTTTACCTTTAGATAACAACAGATAATATTCAAGAGCAAATTGTAAACTTAAGCAAACATCCTATCATGAATAAAATATCCGGCGGTAAATTCGGACAATATGGACATCATCCCTTATGGAATTTAGCTGCATTCATAGGACCACCATTTGCTGGATATTCGCTTTACTGGTTTGTTTATTTACTTAAGTATGTAAAAAACTACATTAAATATGACTAAATCTTGTATTTTCATTTAGGTCCATCCTATACCTTATTATTTTAGGTGCGGTAACCGTTCATTTCAACGACGGAGATTTAGAAAGTTTTAAACAATTTCTGGATCTGTTTGAAAACATTGTTGCATTATTTGATCAAATTCAATCATGAAATTTCACATAAATATTATGAATAGTTTGATATTCAAATTATATATATATATGAATTTAATACTAGATATAGTTTAATTCGTCTATGCTCAGTGCAAATACATGATATCATGCTTATGTATTAACCTAGTAGCCTAAATTCATCACATTATAATTGCTATTACTATTCCTAAATTATAGGATGACCAACTAAATTTCTATAAATAATATTATATAGACCTTTTTAATATATTATCAATTAATAGGAATCTCCTAAATAATTTATGCATTAACAATTTTAGGCGATGGAGACCTAAAATTCTACCATATAGATTGTCTATCTAGAATGTCAATTTTTAATGCTTATTTTTTTTACTCTTTTTAGTCGTTACTACTTTAAAAGCACCCGCTCCATTCCCTGTAAAATCGTCCTTTGCACCATTACTTCCATTTGTAAGATCTTTGTTTGGTTTACTATCCGAATGATGGTTTAATAAGCTGTTCATCGGTAATCCATTAGCATCAGCTTTCCTTCTTTTAATGAATTCATCAGCAAATCGACGCCCATCTAAAGTTGGTGAGTTAGCATAAATAGACTCTTGAATAATCTCGACAGTTTCCGGGGGTGGGTCAAGTGGAAACGTTAACAACACATGAATGAATTCATCAACTTTCGTCATAAACCGTCATTTTGTGTATGCGTGAATTAAAAACAAAGGAATGCATTAATATAAATACAATTGTATAAAAATTACATAATAGGAATATACAAAAGTGGTCGCATATACCATTTACGTTACTCAATCCGCGTAAGGCATTTCTGCACCATTTTAAAAATTCTTCGGAAGGTGCTCGTGGCGTAGAAACTTCAGAGTAAGATGAGATATTACCGCTACTGTTATTGTTATTATTGGTGCCACTCGTCATAGGCTTGGATAAGCCCATATTAACAGTCGTTCTGGTACCACTTTTCAAGGTCTCAGTAGGCTTAGCAGATTGGTTTACAGCTCTAGAATGATATACAATGTATAAGGTAATTTCCATTTTTAATATCATAGAACTTATGGAATTACCTTAATCCAGTCTGAACACCGTTAACCGACTTGTATTCTGAGTCTAAAAGCGAAGCATCTTTAGTAGCTATATTCGTTTTTGAGTTCAAACTAATATTCGTTGGAGTAGTAGTAGTGACACGAGCAGACGTTTTACTTGCAACGGTTGTCCAGGCATTAGTCACAGAGTTTACTGATGGCTTCTATTAAGCATGGTTGAATAGTGATAAAAATAAATAATTAAATAACAAATGCATAAATATAAATAAAATAAATTTTAAAATAAAAACCTTCGAATTTGCGTTCAAATTTCCAACGGATACCGTATCCGCATAGCGTTTTCCCATGCTATTTGGAGCTGTCGTTCCACCGGATGCAGCAGAGATATTCAATGCCTGTTGCATCTCGCGAAGCTTGTTGCGTTTCTTTATTGCTTCCTCCTCCTCTTTTTGAATTTCTCTAAGAGTCTTTTTTGGAGCAGTATTGTTTGATTGCCAAGCTGGTGTGGTCACAACAGGTGAAGTAGAAAGTGAAGACGAATCCGACTCGTTAGATGATGCTGGAACAACTATGCCCCAAGAAGTAGTTGAGGTTGTCGCATCTTCCTTATAAGGAGCAGGCGCATGTGAATTTGCAGTTATAGCAGCAGCAGCTTTTCTTTCAACTGCTTTTCGAGCTTCCATTTCTTGAATTTCACGTAAAGATGGCATTTTTTGAGTTGGGTGATCATCATCTTTAGCCCACGGAGCGGGTGAGGATGGTGTTACAGGACTATTGTTCACCCACGCCGCATTTGACGATTTTAGTGGTTGAGGAAGTTTACCAGCAGTACTGTTTGCGGACGCACCAGAAACCACAGTTGTTTTTTCTTTTTCTTCGTGCTGCTTTTTACGTTCTTCTTCCGCCTGAATTTCACGTAAAGAAGGTTTTGATCGCAAAGCTTCTTCCTTTTGTGTAGGTTGAGGGATAGGCTCATCTAATTTAGCCTTTGGTGATAATTCTATTTTATCCACCATATTAAATTTTACATCGACTTTATTTAAATTAATTTTTTCGTCCACTGGAGTTAGCTTTGACATTGATTCGATAACCTCATTAATCGTTTTGTTCTCAAAAGTAGGTTCTTGTGTTTGTCCACCAACAACTTCATATGATCGATCATTGGTGCGATTTTGTAATCGTTCGTGATGTGTTGATTGTTGTAAACCAAAATTGGATTCTTTTCTAATACCAAAATACCCCGAATCTTCCGACTGTTGAACTCGAGAAGGTGTAACGCCAACGCCAGGAGCTATTATTCCCCATGGCGAAACCGGGGGTGGTTGTTGTTCTGCCGTGGTTGGCCAACCTGCATTTCGCGTTATGACGTCAATGAATGGTGAATTTGGAGCATTTGTGATTGGCGCTGAGACTGGTCCAGATAGACCAACATAATTTTGATGCTGTTGACGAATAAATGTATCTGGATAGGCATGTTGATTTTGCTGTAATTGTCTTTGTTGTAACATTAAATATTGTTGTCTCTCTAATTGTCGTTGATGTTCCAGATAAGTTTGGGGTGGTGACACATTGAATGTCGCATTATTGTTGAATAATGGAGGAGAATTTGGAGTTTGCAAACGAGGTGAAAGGTTACCACCATTTGATGTGTAATTTTCAGACGGTCCCCACCCAGAGCTCGTCGTCCCTAAATCACTCCAACCATTTGATGTCTCATTACGACCAAACACTCCACCGAATTGATATCTGTCAAATGGTGTCGTCGGTACAGACGTAGTTCCTCCGAACGGATTAAATCTTTGTTGGTGTTCTAAAAACAATTGAGCTGTGCTAGGCGAATTAGGCGCTCCCCAAGCTCGTTGAAATGGGTCATTTACCAACCGTGAAGAATTATTTGGCATAGAGATTGTCAATGATGGTCTATTTCCTATCATTGGTGCTGAAAAAGGTCTCTCATCATCACCAGTCTTTCTAATTAAAGCTCCTAGCGGTTCAAATGTAGCATCTTCCACCCTTTTAACTAAAAGACTAAGTACAAAAAATCCACCTTTATACCATTCATTCATTTCTTGACTGCTAAATGGTCCTGGAGTTTGTTAAATAAATCATGATTAAATTAGAATAATAAGAGCACAATTAATTAACAGTTTACATTTATGTTGATAATTAACATACCTTGAATATTGCCACTCGGATCTCTATACAACCATTTAGATTGCTCTGATTGTTTTCTTGATTCTGAATTTAGACTGGTGCCAGAAAAGAGACTTGTTACTCCAGAATTAGTATCTCCGAAAGCACTATTTGGGCCAATTATAGAATGTGCGGAATACTTAGTTTTTCCCGGAGGGGACATTGGTGGTGTGTTACCTCCCATATTTTGATATGAAAAAGCTTCTTTAAGTACATCATCATCTTGATCAGGGTCAAAATGATGTTGTAATAGTAATTGTTGATGTTGTTGCTGCATTATATGCTGCTGACGATCCTGCATGATCTGCTGCTGTTGAAGTAGTAACTGTTGCTGTTGCAGTCGCAACTGATGCTGAAGCTGCTCCTGCCTTTGTTGAATTTGTAATTGTTCTTGTTCATGCTGCTGTAATTGCAGCTGTCGTTGTAGTTGTTGCTTCTCATTATGTTGTTGCTCCTTATCTTTTTCTTGTTGCAGTTGTAACTGCTGTAAAATTAATTGTTGTTCTAAAGCGTGCTCTCTATCAATATCACGTTCAAACTCTCTTTCAATTTCACTTTTTTCTTGCTTAATAATTGAATTTCGATGATTTTGTTGTTGCGGGGATAATTGCTCGACTTCATGCCATCTTTGTTGTAATTGTGACGTCTCATTTTGTTCATCTGGTGGGTGAAATTCATCTTGTGGGTTTATATTATCATCCTCCTGTTGACTTTGTTCTTGCAACTCTCGCCACCCCTGCATCATATTTTGTTCTTTTTCAGCTTGCATATGTTGATTAACACGTTGAAATGGTGGGTTTTCTTGGAAAAAATTCAATTCTTCCGATGATAAATTCGTAATGTCTTCAATATTATTTATAGGTTCACTTTTTAATTCCGAAATATTATCACTCTGAGGAGACTTTGTATAATCGCTTGCATCCGAATGATCGGCTTGGTTTTTCCTTTCAATCTATATATGAAATAAACATTAAAGTACGAAATTAAACCAAATTTTGGAAGTATTCAGTAACCAACCTCTTGATCAATTTTTTTATTAAGTTCGGGATCATCTTTCTTTGATTTATCAAGAGATTCTTCGTCTACATGATTTCCTTGAATTCTAAACACCCCATTACTGTCAAAAGTTCCTACTGCATTTCTAGTTACCACGCCATTCCAAATTGGATCGTCACTTGAAGGATTTAAAGATCCGGGTGTTCGAGGTGGACGACTACTCCGTGGACTCGTTCGCCCGCTGAGTACTCCACCGATAATTCCACCGAATCTTTCTCCTCTGGGCGAAGTAAGCCCCGTATTGATATGTTTATCATTTCGTGGGGAATACGGTACTCTATCTCTTTCTACGCGCTCACCCCCTGTAATCACCCCCCCTGTAGTATTGGAGACGATACGTCGGGTAAGATCACTATTAACAGAAGCACCCGATAAAAGCTAATTCGTAAAGGCACAAAAGGAAATGAGCAATGAAATATTAATATAATAGTTTATTAAAATTTCTTTTCACTATAAATCTAAAAATTAACTTCTATACATCAATATAAAAATTTTTAATAATAATAATAAAGATCAGCCAAAGAAAATTCCTTGGACTTGATCTATCTAAACATTCGGCCTATATTCATTATCCACAAATTTATGACCATAAATTCATACATAAACGGATATATATTGAATGTTTGTAGTTGTTTCAAAATAACAACTATACCATTTTTGAATTTTTTTCCTATGTACATATATAGCGATATCAATTAGATACCTTTTGTTCCTGTTCTGTTGGTACTATCAATGCCATTGGTTGTAACGGCTCTTCGCTTGTAATATATTCGTGCCGTTCAAACTCCAAAGGCAATCCTACCGGTTTATATAATTTAATCATGAATTCCTTGGAATATTTGAAAGGATTTAAGGCGGAATCATTAGAACCAGGTACATCAGATTTCTCGGATGGTTCGTGTTGAAGGGAACGATTTAATGTAGCGTTATTACTGTTTGCAGCCGCCACAGAAGACCAAGAAAATGTACTTGTGCCCGAGACGTTGTTGTTAACGTTGAAAGTAGAATTTGGTGTATTATTTGTGTTGTTACTTGCACTGCTGGAATTATTTGACGAAGCGGTAGTCGCATTGGTAGCCACGTTAGATGAAAGCAAAGTTGGAGAAGTAGAACGATTGCTATCGTTTGCTGGAGTTTTTGGAAAACGTCTCATCCTTGAAATCGAGAGTTTTGTTTGTGACGTTAGCATATGACAAATTCAGAATTTTTGACACCTTAGAGACTCTCTTTTTCAAATCTAAATTACTGGCAGTTCCAGCCTAAAAAGGAAAGCTTGTACGGTCATAAATTTTACGGGTCACAAAGCTTACCACTCTGGACCAAAGTTCATGGTGTTGCTCGCAGCCATTGTAATAGTGAAGAATTTAAAAACTAGTTGTGCGGTAGGTTTTTTGCTCTTTAACGTTCTGATGTGTTCGCTTAAAATGCGTTTATCACTTGTCAGAGTTGACTAAGTGGGCTGAGATAAAAAAAAAATTAGTTTTATTATGTGTATTAGTCACTAACTTATAATAGTCATGACGTTATAACAATGATACTATCACGGTATCACCAGGACGCTTGATTGTTTTTCTATTCGGGTTTCAGTGAATTTGATTGGCTGGTTATTTCATAACCATGTAGCTCATAATATACTAATTTTTCAAATATTCCAAATTTAGATGAGATTTGCTGAATAAATAAAGTGTCTATACGTTGTATTTCAGTTCACATTAGAGCGCGAAAAATCATAACCGGAGCGTTGCCGATAATATAATCAATCATAAAAAGCTTAATAGCAATGAAGCTTGGACTTTCAAGGAAAAGTTCTAATCGAAAGAGATATAATCAAAAGAACAGAAATTATATTAGGTTTTATGAAGTTTTTAAAATGAGCTAACAACACGTATTCGATCACTTGTGTCCTTTATTTATATTGCAGTATTGAATATATTGATATACATTATGTATTTCATTTTGTATATCTAAACAGGAAGATACTAATATAAGACTTAGATTAGTAGCTGAAAGATCATTAAACACGATAGTTAATAACAAGTTCTTTTGGCATATATAGGACTTTCTTAAGTTGGCCTGCAATAAAATTAATTTGTTACGTATTATAGTTGAAGCAGAGGTACGAGTTATATATGCTTTAAAGTAAATCTTGTTATATTGCTATATGAACTAAAAAAAATCTTTTATCTGTAATATGTTACTATTAACTATGGCAGCTTTTTATTAGTTCATACTATGCTGTTGTGCGGAAATTTTTAATAGATTTGAAAAACTAATCATAATATAGCAATTTCCAAACACATTCAGTTTGTATTTAAATTAGGACATTGAAAAGAGGGTTTTAGTTAACTAAATACATTGAGAGGTCTCATCTGTAATTTATGACCTTAGCAAATGCATCTCGTGTCATTAACAAAAATTGGTATGGAAGGAATCGCATTAACTTTATTAATGAAAGTTAATTCCGAACTAATAGTGAAATTTCGAATTCCCTGGTTATTTATTTACTCAATGACCGTAACCTATGAAATATTGTATAATTTCGTTTAATAGTTAAAATTATTAGTGGACTTGCCATCCATACAAAGGATTGAATCAGAGTATTTTACATGGGCAATTGTGTTAATCTAGGGTTATATCTGACGATCCGAATATTACTAATTAATTATTCGGATAAAATTTTGATTCAGATAATTAAACCGGATTATCTGACTATCTGGTAATAAGATCATGCTTATATAACAGATAAGTTAACATTGGCAAACTGAGTTTATATTCGGACTCGTTCTTACATAATAACGATGGGAGAGAAAGTATCTGCACGATTATAGTTCTTTATCCGGTTTATCCGAATATCTGTTGGAGTTAGTCACGGACAGATAAGCAGATACGGATAAGCTCAGTTTTACCTGAACGGATAAACGGATCCCATCTCTGTTAAACAGATAAGGTCAAATCACACGATCACCGTATAACAGATAGACATGTCACGTAAGTATAAAACTTTATTGGCTTTGCAAACAAAGGCGAACACGAGATACAGTATATAAAACTAAAAATCGTTATATTTTAAGATTGTTATTGCTCAAACAAATTAGTACGACAAGAAAGATTTCAAATACTAATTTGTAGGCATAATGTTCGATTATGTATACTCGTTTATTAAATCAAATTTATGAGATGTACTGTATAATATAAACCGGATTAAAATCGAATAACTGAATAAGCATCTATTTATAAACCCGGATTAAAGGATTATAGGATAGGATGTCTATCCGGACACCGATCCGATGTCCAGATCAAAAACATTAGCATTAGGTATATCGTTGCACAACTACTGCATTAAGAAGAGATGCTTCTGTCAAAGTTTGTAATTCGTCCTTAAGATCCTTAGATGGAAATGTTGTCTGTAAAACGTAGTTGCGTGTTGCTTCTCCAACTCTCGAACTAAATAAATTTATGCAAAAGTATAATCAATATAACAATAAAGCATTTAAAATTTTCAATATTATAATAATTTATAGCATACGCGTTAATAAAATTTCGAATATCGGCAACGGTATGAGTATGATTGAATCTAGCAAGCATTCTGCACGATATCAATTAAAAAAAAAAAGGTTCAATAGCTGTAAATGGAAAATCATCATAGAATAAAATATTTACTCACCTCGTTCCATCACCAAGACGAATTTGAATGGATGTTATCGGTAGTGATTCATCAATAACTAGTTCGTTCAATCTTGGTGTTGGTGTTGGTGTTGGTGTTGGTGTTGGAGTACTTGAAGGATATGCACCAGGTGTACTACTAGTTGCAACTGTTGGTGTTGGACTATAAATAATAATAATATTATTAATTAATTGAAATAAAATAAAATAAAAATAAAATCCATGAATTTAATGCCTTATTATGGATTAACCGACCTGCCGAGCCTTTGCGCGGAACCTGAGAATGGCTTGATCGGTTGTTTAGGTGGTGGTTTATAGTCCTCATCCAGCCTACGTTCCACACGAATATCCACTGGTTGATCATATCTTACATTTAGCCAAGTCAAAGGTGCACGTCTACGCAAATAAATAATGAAAGATTAGTTAGTATCTTATTCTAATTAATTGATAAAATAACATCCTTAACTACCCATTATTAATAGCTTTAAGGAATTCTTCGTTTGCTGGATCATCATATGCCATTAAGGGACCATCCTCAATACTAAACCCATCCCTCCAAAATGTCAAATGACGGACAACCTATAGGGTGTTATCGTTAAAAACGAAGAATTTTAAAAAAAACATTATTTAGTAAATGTGCTCACCGTTCTGGGTGGCTCAACGGTGGAAGGTTCTGATGAGTTCACTTCAACTGAAGGCTCTTCATCACTTCCAAGTTTGTAACCTATGATTGCAAAAATATTTCAAATTTATGACATAAATAATATGTAGAAAAAAAGAATCATACCAGTGCCAGTAAAGGTGCTTGGAATTGGTGTAGTTTCAGGTTCTTCAACATATCCACGCCCACCTCTTGTACCAAGCATAGACCATAAAATTCAAGAATTATCACTATGTAATAACAATATGCAATAACAGTACACAGATAAAATCTTCTCTTACTCAGTTGCCTTTTTGAGAATGTCATCAACTAATGATCTTGGCTTGCCGGGTTTTTGCATGAAGATTCCACTGTACAATAACAAAGACAAAACGTGAATATAATACCTTATTCCATGGACGATAATTTAAAGTTAGCTTTGCATGCTCACGATTTTTCACCGCCGGCAAATAGATTTTCGCGCACTTCTTCCTCTTCCTCTTCATCCGACTGCTCCTTATCATAATCACGCAAAGTAGCATATTGGGAACTAGGAGCAGATTATTTGAATTATTAGAAAACATTTAAAGCAATTTATAAAGGAAAGCTATGAAATATGCATTCGACATACTTTTTTTTTTGTGTTGAGCCAGAAGCTGTGCCATGAGGCGCAGGAACTCGTGTTTCTTGGAACGAGCCTTCAGCATTTTCCCCTTCTACATCATTTCCGTCATGTTCATAATAATTATCTACCGCAGCCTAAAAATAACGGAGCACTTTAGAAAATTCATGATTTCTAACTTTATCTCTAAGGGACCCAGAAAAGACTTTTAATTACATTGAGGTCCCAGTTATTCGCTTCCAAATAGAATCGAGCTTGTTGTTCGTCACAAGAAACAGACGCGGTAAAACGTTCAATTAATTCAGAATGATCAGACATTACGAAAAAGTTAAACTTCGGACAGAAATAAAAGATACCGGGCGTATTTATATATGCTCGATGTTACACTTGCAGGATATCGGATCGAAAATTAGATCGACTGGACCAGCATTAATGTAATGCAGGCCAAATTATCAAATATCCCTGATAAATATAAAAATATACCAGTAATGCGTAACCACATCCTATTCTAAATTGAAGAATAATGGTAAAGCTTCAGTTATGATTAATATTACATATAATCTTTTGATATAACTAAAAATAATATTAATTTCATAGGATCGATTTAATCTCAACAGTCAACTTGAACATTGTGAGTATAAACTTGTTTATTAATGGTTTAAGAAAAGAAATGCATACTAACATATCCCCTCAGTACAATCAAAGTATGTTGGAACAGGTCATGCAGATACAAATAAGTTGTGAGTAATTTTTTTGTGTTTTTATATTCCATTAAGAGTACTTCTATAATTACTCTTGACAACCTATCCTTAGCGAGTGGTTGGTAAATCAACACAGGGATAGTTATGCGTCGTATATTGGTCACCACGCTTTGATCTCATATTTTTCCGTGGCGCAGAATGAATGTATTGCTAGAGTCAAATTTGAGTTCATAGAAGTAGGCGAAATTTTGTAAAAGTTGTTTCTTCCTGAATCTTAGATACGCAGCTTACATATTTTTTTTTACTTGTAAAGAAAATGTTACAGCCTTGTGGGGTGCCCGTACCTCGAGATGAATGATTACAGCGAATAGAAGCTGTCAGGTGCTCAGAGCGAGGTTATGACTATCAAAATTCTTACTAGATATTTACACCCTCTATTGCATTGTCATTCTGACTGTTAAGTCACCCTTAAGCCAAAATGTACTACTTTCTTTGTCTAATTATTTTAATGATAGACTTCGTATTTAGCTTTTTAAGCAAACATAATTATAATTAAAATACCCGAAGCTATTATTTGATCGCTAACAACTGTGGTAGTTGACCAGCATAGCATACGGTTACCTTTGTATCAAAATTTAATTCGGAGTTTAGTGATGCAAACGGCTCGGCTCACCGCTAATATTAACCAAGCCGAGCCGATTCTTTGACTCTACAAACCATTAACCATTTTTTACAGGGGGATCCCCAAATTTCCAGGCCGGAATGCGTCGGGGTTAGCATTAGGGTTAGCAGGAGCTATAGTAAAATTATTAGCTGGGCATTTTTTGCTTAATGAACGACTATTGTTTCAATAATAGCGATAGTAAAATTCTTAGTGATCTTGGGCAAAATTGATCGATTCCGGCCCATCCGACCAGGTTTCCGATGCACCCGACCCGGAATTTTTGGGACTTCCCTGTATGAATAGTAGAGTCATAATTAGTATAATAAAAATGATCTACATATACTCTACCCTTAATAAATTTATGGCTGCCCAATCTGATAAGAACGTTTCGTGTTTCCGTGTAGTTTCTAATGACGATAAATTTTTTTACGCTAGAACATTGTGGCAAATCTATCCCCTACTAGATTTGACAGCTCCTGATGAAAAAGCTGTATGTGAATTAACAGTTACTGACTGTAAATCCTTTTGGACGACAACGTGTTGGTTTTCTTTTTTTACTTTCTTGCGTCATTTTGCATTAACGCGTTATTACAATGTCACTGATCCTATTATCATAAATTCGCATTTATGGTAATAAAAGTGACTATTTCTGATTTAAAACAGATTAAACCAAGTGGTATTCCTGATGTTTCAAAATTCTGCGGAGCAACACAGGCATCATTATCGGGACAAGAAGAGTATGAATCCTACAAATTATCATGTCGAGTTTCTGTTTCAGAAAAGTATGCGAGGGTAATAATTAAATATTAATTGTATAAGGTCAATACGTTAAAATATAGCAATGTTTACTGTTATTTACTTTAATAGTTCGTATGGAGATGGTCGATTCCGAATTCTTCCAATGCACCGGTTTTGTATTGATCCTTTCTTGGCATTTATTAAAGATTATTTGTATTTAGTTATATTTAATTTTCTCAAATTTGAATAGACTGTACAATTCAATATCGGAAATGCTACATTGGCTCCCGTTTCTCAATTTGAAAATGTTAAGATGTGGCAAGAGTGGATAGATTTTTTTATTCACGAGCGAAAACAGCTTATGGTATATTACTATTTTGTACAAATATATATATAGGTTTATTTTATAGTACTTTTTATTTTTTTTTACAGAACATAATTTTTTTTTTGTAATAAATAACGAAAAGACTAAAAGTACAGCAATTGAGACGCGTTTATCTAATTTAGAAGCTATTCGTGGTAGAATGCAAGAGAGAATTGAGATTATGGTTGCAGAAAAGGTTAATCACGAAACAATCTTAATGGAAAAGGTGAATAGAATAATTTTCATTTAAAAAAAAATAAATTCCTTTTGAATTATTTATATATACTAAACGCAGGTGTTACTTATTTTTCTTTCTGATTTGACAAGTTTAAACAAATTCTAAATGCCAAAAAAAGGAAAATAAAAAAATTAACGAAAGCACTTAACACCAGTGGTATTAATTCACGTTAATTTATTGCGATAACATCTACTTTCTTAAGCTAAATTTAGTCTTTTAGGAAAAATTGTGCCCAGTCAACAAACACATTCGCTGGAGCTTTCAGATGATGAATTCACTGACGAAATTGATCCCAATTCTAACATGAGTAATGAAGAAATTGAAGCCAGCCATTTCAAAAAGCCAAGGCTAGATGATAATGCAGAACAAACGGCATCCATCATTGATGACGAACCAGCTAATAATAAGCAATCAGATGAATCTCTTTTGACTAAAACTTTTCGCGGCACAGTTATTAAATCTAGAAGGTGACTATTGTTTGTTTAAATCGTTATCATTTCTTTTTTTTTTTTAGTTTGTTAAAGCAATCTTTTACGTAAAACAAATCAGAATGGGTAAAAAGCCTACCACTGCGTCTAAAGATACTGCTTCAATTGATCAGTTTTTGGACCCGAGAAAGAATCCGAACATGTAAATTTAATAAATCATTAATTTTTTTGGATTTTTCATATCATTATTCATATTAAACAAATACTTTATTGAATTATAGCATTCCGTCCCAAGATCTCTTACAAGAAGCCGGTAGCGATTCTGATTCAGCTAACGATTTATTATCTAGAATGTAGATAACTTATCACATAATAATTTGTATCAATAAACTTTTAAACGTGTCTTCATCAGTTGTATCAAAATTTCTCTGCTTTTTGACTTCATCCAGTATTTTATTGATCATAATATCATAAAATTTATAAACTTGTTTGAGATATACGGGATGTATAAACCAACACCCCTTTAATCAAAATTTAAAATTACACAATCAATTCTGATAGCTAATTTATTTTCTTTATAATATTAAATTTAATATAATAACGTATCTGATTCTCAATTCGGTGAAACAATGATAATAATAATAACACCCGTGTCACAGCTGTGCAAACATTATCAAAAAAAACGCTTTATTTATTTATTATATATATACACTTTGAATTAAAAATATACATGTGCATAATTTTTCTATATTATACTATATAACTCTTTTTAGTTACAACTATATAATTTTTACAACCATCATGTTAAAGGATACTAGTTTCGGCTAAAAAAAAAAAAAAAGTAGCTTACTTGTCCTAGTCACCACGTAGAGGTGTATCCTATGACTAGGGAAATGTCTCGACAAAGAACTCGCGAAAACCCAAGTGAGCTGGGAATTCTATCAAACCTCAGCTTCTCGAGCAAAAACTGATTAGATAACCCCTGCCGCTTGTCGGTTTTGGCTTTAAGGTTCATGTTGACGAAGACGTGACCTGCTCGAAAGGAACACAAGAAAACAAAAAAAATGCTTTGACAAAGAACTCGCGAAAACTCAAGCGAGCTGGGAATTTTATCAAACATCAATTCCTCAAGCAAGAACTGATTAGACAACCCCTGCCGCTTGTCAGTTTTATGTTTTAAGGTTCGTGTTGCCAAAACGTGACCCACTCGAAAGGAACACGAGAAAATAAAACGAAGAAATAAAAGGAGAAAATAAAAAGGAGGAAATGAAAAGGAGAAAATAAAAAGGAGATATTAAAAAGGAGATATTAAAATCAAAAAAAAAAAGAAGTAGTATTAATCCTAATCCTACGATAAGATAACGATAATCAAAAAAAACTAAGGCAAGTAATTCAAGATTTTATCAGCCAATAAAATTGAATGTCCGTTATCGATATCAAAATTAGATGAACCAGCTTTTTTTTTGTAATCTTTCAACACTTTCGTTCTCACATAAAAAGGTTTCACCCAACAACTATATATGATATTAGCATTGTGACACTAATTTAATCTTGTCAGGGTGTTTCTATTTAATTGGGTTTCCTCTTTTGCACTTTGACGAAATGTTTCGTCTTTCACCGGGGCTAGCATCGTCTTTCGCCGTCAGGCAAAGTTGGTTCCGTTTAATCACACCAATTCTCTCTTCAAAAAGTTCGTTTGCGGCTAAGCTAAGAGGGGATTCATTACCGCAGAAGCCCTTGAAACCTTCTGAAATGGCGAAGAAATGGGAAAAGAGGCCAGAAGGTTTACGAACAAGTATTCCTCCAGGTTAGTCGCACGCACTTAATAGAAGGAATCTTATGTAATTGCTTAAAGTTTTATATAACCTTTTCAACTTGATTCAACGTGTTCATTTTAGTGTCCAAGGGAAGAAGCACTAATCTTATCGAGATCAAAAATCTACCATATACAGTGATCCCTCGTGATATCAAGATGTTAGCGGGTGATACTTCTAAGAACGTGAGTTCTATCAGTGAAAGTATGTATTGAGTTCTTTTTTTCGTCGTTGTTTATGCTGATGAATTAATACCAATTTTTCTCTTTCAAAACATTATAGTTACTTTCCTTCGTAACAATTATTATCAGCTTACAGGTTCTGTTATGATACGTTTTCATACCGATAAAGATGCAGAGCGATTTATAACAAAGAATTCCATGACGTCTTTTTGCGGTCATAAATTGGATATTGTTACGCATGTAAATATGGATCGATTTTTTTTGATATTGAATAACGTTCGTATTTGTTATATATTGTTTCAGTGATATCATAATTTACATGCAAATTATGTTCAGTCGAAATCTTATGTGTTTCCGAAAAAATTACCACCACACATACGTAGAGAACCGGGGAATTGCATCATTGTGTCTGGTTTTCCACTTAATATTGCAATTGACAGTATAAAAGAAACCCTTGTATCAGATTTTCCTGGCATCTCAAATACACTCTGCGAACAATTTACACCATTACCAGTGTATGAAATTAATTTAATTTTTTTTCTTCAAATTTATTTATCTACTAATATAAAGAAATTACTACAACTTTCTTTTTTTTTTTAGTTCTGGAGTTACGCCTATGTCATCCAAATGGTTACTTGTATTTAAAACAAAACAAGAAGCATACCAAATGGTAAGAAAATTGCATAATACTTATTTTAGAAGAGATCTAAATGATAAGAAATATCTATTAAAAGCCAGAGTAGTTTATTAATTCTAAATGAGATAATTGAACTAGGAATTTTAAATTTATATCTACTACAATCAGTAATAGTAATATATAGCAAATAATGCAAATATTTCGATCTAATAATTTATATAAGAAGTTTCTTTTTTTACACATAATGTATGCACACGGGTATTAATTTATTGATTTACAAATTCGTTTAACATACAAATTTTATAAAATAAAAATTAACCCTACTTAAGGTTAGGGTAAGGTTAGTTTTAGGTTGAAGATATTCATAATGTATGCTAAAGTTTTGCAAGGAATATAAAGATCTCGATATTACCAAATTCGATGAAAAATTTTTTTATAGATTTCTAGAATTCAAAAACCATCGAATTTAGTCATATCAAGATATCTTTGTTCAAAATTTTGATGTTTTGATTTTTTTTAAAGCTTTGAGCGAAAATATCTCAACAAACATTTTGTTTCTTTTAGGAAATAATTGTAGTACCAACAAAAAAATTGCCAATAATTGAAATCTTCTGCTTGTAGGATGTGCATCGCATAGCCTAAATTTAGCCATTAACGATCTTATTAATTCATCATCTGCTTTTGTGAATCAAATTCATGCAATTGTGATTATGATGCAAACTTATAAGAATCGTAAAAAACTTGCAAAGGTAACATCTTTAAACTCTATATTAAATAATGCAACTCGTTAGATAAGTGTAATGAAAATAGTAGAATAGTGTAAAGAACTTATTCCCTATATTATTTAGACTAATGGATTTTTGGGTTAATTTAAATTTTTTTTTAATTTTTTTTTTAAAATTTTATCTTTTTTATCTTTTAAATAGAGACATTTTATTAGTAGAACAATTAAATCTCAAAGAAGTTAATAATTTTATTAATCAACTTAAATCTTTTTCAGAAGTAGCTAATGATTTACAAAGTAAATCAATGAATTTGGATTAGTATTACAAGCTGGCTGAGGCAGCTGTGGCTAAGCATATCAGCAGATTTTTGGAATTTACTATTGAAAATTCCAAAAATATTTAACAGTGAATAAAATTTGATTCACTAGTTCATTTTCAATGAAACAATTACCAAAATGGTTGTCTTGTTTAAATAATTCTAATGAACACAAAATCATTAAAATTCATTCACAGAACTCCAAGATCAATAGAGATTTGTGTCGCTTTGGGTGTTTTAGGATTGGCTAAAACATCTGAAGTGAAACAAATCATCAAAGATATTGAGATTCTGTAATTAGATTTTGGCAATTTTGTATCCATTAGAATTGTTTCACCAAGACAAAACTTTTGGTAATTGTTTTGTTGAAAACAGATTAGTGAATCAAAAATTATTTACTGTAAATATTTTTGGAATTTTTAATAGTAAATTCTAAAAATCTGCCAATATAGGCAGTTTAGCCAGCTAATGTAATATGATTGGCTGGCTAATGTGGCACTTAAAGAGGGTAATGACTAGACCACTATACTAAGTTACTACACTTTAATATAATATCTGATATATATGTTGTGCCTCAGATTAATGCTTGCGTCAGATGTCAACTTTTTGGCCCGCATTAACTGATCGATATTGATTGACTTAAATTAAGCCCAAATCCTTCCCAGATTCTTACCCTAACCCTAATCTAACTTAGGCCGGTTTTAATCTGACGCAAGAATTGATCTGAGGCACGACATATATATTAAAAAAAAAAAAAAATTAATAAAGTTTTGTTATTATATATTTAAAATACTATAGTATAGAATAGTTAAAAATATATACTTTTTTTATAAAAGTGTTAAAATTTGAGATTTATACTCAAATCTGATTAGTTAATTTTTGTGTAGCAAAACTCTAATTGGTTAAAAATTTATAAAACAATTTTTTTTTATATTAAATGCCAAATTTATAACTATACTAAAAATATTTGTATGTAATGATAATGTTTAGACTACTAATATAATAATTCACTTAAATTGTATAATATTTAATCTGTTGTTCTGATTTGTCAATAATTTTTTTAAATTTATACAAGAAATTATTAAGTAAAAATATCTTCAAGATTTAAGTAAAGTTGTAAAAGGGATAATTCTGAGTTCAATAATAGTTAGATCATCAAAATCGGCCTAGTAGTTCTTGAAATATCTTGGGTTAAAAGCGTAAACATAAGGATTGGCAAAGTCACTATTACACAAAGTATTGATTTTGTTAATTCTTATATTTAGATTTTTAATCCCACATATTTCAATAACTACTAGCTCAATTTTAATGATTTAATCACCATTTGACTTAAAATTATCTTCTCTACAACTTTATTTAGATCTTGAAGATATCTTTATTTAATAACTTCTCGCATAAACTTAAAGAAACTATAATCAGATCCATTTTGGATTTAAAGTGAACCTACTTTGGGTTTAATATAACCTACTTTAATTCAAAATATACAAAAAGCAGTTTTTTGTAATTATCTTGGCAACCAGCAGTCCAATCTAAATGAATTTTTTTTAAAAAAAAAGCTCTTAGTAAGATGTATCTAATAAAAAAGAGTTTATTTAATTCTAATTACTAGATTCTAAAATATTTAAGAAACAATAAATTTTTAGTTTTAATAAATTAAATTAAAATTAAACAAAACCAAATTATAATCTATATTAGAGATAAAATTATTTAAATTAGGCCATGTAAAATTAATTAATTGGTTTTCATAACCCAGCCAGGTCAAAATTTAAGAACTTCAAAAAAAAATTTTTATATGTTTTAATAACCAGGTGAATTTTAAAAAAAATTTTTATATAAATTTTATAAAATTTTATATATGAAATTTAAAAAAAAAGCTAGTTGGCCAGGTCTGTTTAAAGTTTTATGCTATAAAAACCAAGTAATTAAATTTGTATAGCCTTATTTGCTTTAGATTTAAATTTTTATTTTATTTTATATTAAATCTTTTCTGTACATTATATAAATTTATAGCTTAATAATTAAAAAAGTTTTACTATATATTTATTTTATTTTAAAAAATTTTATAAGTTTATTTCTGTACATTATTGCATAGGTTTACAACTAGTTTTTGATTAAATATAAACTTTAAGTTTAAAAATATAGCAATTTAGTGTAGTGGTCTAGTCGTTACTCTCTTTAAATAGCAGGTCTAGAGTTTAAATCTTACAAATAATGATTTTGAAAAATAAGTCTGCATTATAGTTAATGGTTATAATTATCAATTAAATTTAAAACTAAATCTGTAATCTCAGTTACATCATCTAGTAATAGGAGCTTTGATGTAATAAATCTAAAGAACTGGAATAACTGAAAATCTATTTGGGAAGTTCTAAATTTGAAAATAGTAGTAATCTTTGATGATATCACAGGAGAGCTGAATTTGAACTGAGACCTGAGATTAGAGAACCGTAACCAGATTCTTAAGTAGGAGGATACACTAGCTGAATCACCAGACCAATGCACTAAAGAAAAGAATATACACTTTGAAAATATAAATTAAGGAAAGAGCAACTATAAGACACCTAAAGCCTGTATAAACTGACCCTTCCAGATTGCTGGCTAGAAGTAAAGAGGAACTGATAAGAAATCCAGATAAGAAAATAGTTCAAATGTGGATACTGAGATTGTTGTAAACTAAATAAGAGTATATAATAGATGCCTAGTTAGGAAAATTGGTGCTTGAGAAATGACCATAGTACAGCAGCACTTCAAAAAATAATATAAGATATGATTACAGTATAGCAAATTAATATATACCAATTAGAAAGAAGTTATAAGAATATATAGGTAAATACATATATAAGACATATACTGCTTTGTTAGGTTTATCTTAAGGATAAATTAGCTTAAGTTAGTAAGTCCTAAAGTAGGATGCAAAATCTAATTGGGTAGATACTAAAATCTACTTTTATATAGTAAAGAATATTCTGAATTAGAGGGCAGATAGTGGTATTTAGAACTAGATAGTTTAAAAGATAATCTCTATAGTTGAGTACAAGTATGGTGGATAGTGTAGAACTCTTAGTATAGTATTAATGCTTTGGGTGGACTTCTTAAATTAGACACCAAAAGTGTATATATGGCTTGATATACCATCATTGTAATTACAATATAAAACATCATCTATACTCTAATAAAAAGTTCTTCAGGCCAATATGATTGCTTTAATACAAAAAAAAATAAATAAATAAACTATCTCTTAAACTGTAGACAATTCCAGGCAAATTTGCCTGGAAAATTGCTATAAATTTGCTTATGATTTACTTTTTTTAAAA